TAGAAATCTAGGTATAGATTTGTTGTGACACCCCTCCCCTACATCTACCCCTGTCAGAAGATTTAGTTAACTGAAAGATGAAACTGAGGTCTATAATTAGAATTACAGTCTTTGAAACAAGAGTTTTTGGAAGGAAGTGATAAAGACACACCTTTCAGAATATCGAAAATTAATACTATTTTTCTAACCTGAAATTTACCTGCATGATGTATGACTTGTAAGCTATAATCTCTTGCACCTGCATCCTTCCCTTTGAAATATCAATTTCTAGAGCTTCCCTGGTGGCGCAGCAGTTGAGCGCTGGGTTGCGAAGCTGCCCAGAGTCTCTGCAGTGCCGGTTCGATCCCCGGCCGCCGGCGAGGGTCCCACATGGCGCGCAGACCTCTCCTGCCGCCCGCTGCTCCCCTCAGCAGTGTACTTCGTCAGTCTGTCTACTCTGCTCTCCCCTCTGGCTCTGGTGAATTCTCTCACCCTCCCGCGCTTCTCACTGTACCCAGTGCTTGTATAAACAAATAAATAAATATTTATAAATAAATAATTAAATAAATAAATAAAATAAAATATCAATTTCTACTGCACCACTGGGTGATTTTGCGTTCTCTAACCATTCTGAAGTTCAGAGTCTGCATGAATCTATTAGATTCTTATTTTATCCCTATAAATATCTCATATTTATAAGGATGCATTAAATATGTAATTGTATTAAAACAATATTCATGTATTAGACAAAGGAGAATATAGAAACTGCTACACTAACGGCACAACTCACATTTTTTTCTTTTTCTTGATGGGAAAGTGAGAATAATAACTATTGATTTTAATAAATTTGGCATCCACTCTAGCTTTGCTATTGTTCCTGTGGGATTTTCTTTAATGGTAGCCAAAAAGTGACTAAAAAAGCCACTGAATTTCAAAGTTAGCTTATTTTTGAGCCAATGAGATGACAACATTCACAAAATATTATGTGGAAAAGCTATTTTTAAAGTTACCTTTATATTATGTAAAGAATGTTGTTAAACATCTAGTGACACGTGGTGAAAACTTCTTTATCAAATACCTAAATGTAATAATATAAACCTGATTTTGTAAAACTGCTCTGAGGTTGCATTTCTTTTTTTTTTTAAGATTCATTTATTTATGCATATAAGAACTGGGGTACAGGCCAGAGGTGTTGGGGAGGCAGTGACAGGATTCAGCAGAGACAGAATGGGGAACAGAACAGGCAGATTGAGGTATGGCAGACCTCTCCTGTCGTGCCTACTGCTCCCCTCAGCAGTATATTTCGGTTGTCTGCCTGTTCTGTTCCCTGCTCTGTCTCTGGTGAATTCTCTCACCCTCCTGTGCCTCTGGCCTGTACCCCAGATCTTGTATAAAAATAAATAAATCTTTAAAAAAAAAAACAGTCAGATTGAGTGAAATACACTGCTGAGGGGAGCAGCAGGCAAGACAGGAGAGGTCTGCTGCGCCATGTGGGTCACCTCCCTGGCCAGGGGTCTAACTCGTGTTGCAGAGGCTGTGAATAGTTTCATAGGTTGCATCTTAACCCCTTGTGCCACCAGAGAGGCCCCTGAGGTTGCATTTCTTTATGAAAATATTCACCCAGGGTCCCTGACCCGTGGATTCCTAGAGTAAGAAGGAACCTAAGAGGCATATCTTTTACAGATGATCATTCAATCTATTTTGTGGGAGGTTGTTTCTTCTCTTTTCTTTTTCAGAACCTCCCTTTTTGCATTAAATTGAAATCTGCCTCTGTGTACTCTTTTCCATTAGTCCCATTGTATACTTTGGAATGAAACAGAGATCAGCTGAATGCCCACCACTCACCAGTGTGGACAAACCACAGATCTGAAAGTCATTCTTGATTTTTTTCATTTCCTCTCCCACCACCCTCCCATCATCCACTGAGCCCTCCAGTCATAAACCCAAAAGAGGCATTGATCCTGGATTATCCACTTATTGCCGTTTGTCCTGCCACTAGATGGTAGTCCAAGCCACCATCGTCTTTGAGCTACACTGCATTAATCATCTTCCAGGCAACCTCTGTGTTCCATTTGTCATGTCTCTACAGCCTACTTTTTATGCCAGTGGTCAAATTGGAGCACAAGAACCCAGGGCAACACAGGATAATTCATTAGGATACAGGAAGAAATACCAGAAATTCTATTTATATTGTCTTTAATCTCATCATTTTAAATCGCTATTTTGTTCTATTATGTTTTTTCACATTCGTAAGTTAGTACAGTTGCACATGTGTGTGAGTCATAAATAAATACATATTTATTGGGAGTATGTGCTTAAATATTGAATACTGCATTTCACATATGTTCCAGTTAGCATAGAGTAGGATATTACTTCTCAAAAATAGCCTTTGCACAGTACCTTTTCCATAATGTAACATCTTACTAGCATTTGAGCTTCCATTTTTCTCTTTGACTTTTTATTCAATTTATAATCTGATATAGCCAACATCCCAGATCCATTTTCAGTCTTAAATAACTGATACGCAAACAATTGACTTCCCTTCTCCGCCCACCATCCCCTGGATCCCTGTCCCCATCCCTCCCTCCTCCTCTTAACCTCAGAGTCCTCAGGATATGTGTTGATATGTGCGTTTCCTGGCCTGTTTTATAGATAATGAAACTGGGGATCAGAGGGGTTAAGTATTGCCAAAAGGCACACAGCTCATAAGCGTTGGAACAGATTCAAATCCCTGTCTATCCGACCCCCAAACTTGGACTCTTAACTCACATGCCAAATTCTACCCCAAACACTCTCCCATTTGGCACCAGAGGTTCAAACTCACTTACACAAGAACTTCCCTGAAAATCTCCCTTCTGTTGTAATCTGCTGCCAGACTTTTTGTTTATTGGTGGCGAGTTCCAATATGAAGCCGTTCTATTTGGTGCAAACAGAAAGCTGAATTGATTAGTAGAAATTTCTTATTTATCTACTAACACTAGATTTCCTGAAAGCTGCAGACCTCTTCTTTGCTACTCTAATGTGTGTGAACATTTCCTGTAGTTTACACTTCTTGATCCCTTTGTCTTTAGTATGAGGAGAGAAAATGTCCAATTTAATTAGAAAGACTTGAATTATGTCTGCTGTTGAATGACTTGAATAGACACCCTGGCCATTTACATTTTCTGCACAGAACAATTGTTTAGTTAATAGTTCGCACCTATGAACCCCTCCCCAAATTCTTATCCATATAGGGCTCTCCTTTCTGAAATTTCCTCAGCATTGACAATGACAATATTGCTGATTTGCCAACTACTTCTACAGAGTTAATGGCTTCTCAGTGAATGGTTTAAGTTCAGACTGGACCAAAAGTTATCAAGGACTATAACACCATCTTCTGCATTGGGTGCTAAATGATGCTTCTCTGAGGTTGATTGCATCATACTTGACCATGCCTGGGATTGTTGTGCAGCCTGGACAGCTGAGAGGTCCTCAGAGTGGACAGGACAGTGTGAACACTATGTCACCACAAGGGACCATGTAGCACTAAGCTCTGACAGACCAGCAGGACATTCCTGCAGCTGACACTCCAGTGTGTACTCTCATTTGAACATTTAAAAAAAATTGAACTGTTTACCTGAGGTATAGATGATATGTTGGCTTTTCAGTGTAAATTAATTTGGAAAAAAACAAATTTGTTTTTGGATATTACACTTGTAATTTACTTCCAAGAATATTTTCATATTTACGCCGACCCTCTCTACAACCTTTATTTCTTAAGAATTTTTGAGTTTTCTATTTAAAAAGTTTTTTGAGCATATATAAAGTATAGAATCTTGTAAGTAACTATATAGATTCTTTTAGTTATTTATATAATAACAGTAGATACTCTTAAAATGTCATAAAGTAATAGGCACATCTTGACCCAATTAAAAATTCATACACTTCTGAGCAAAAAGCCCTGGCAAAACAATGTTTTTTTTTTTTTTTTTTTAAAGATTTATTTATTTATTTATACAAGCACTGGGTACAGTCAGAAGCGTGGGAGGGTGAGAGAATTCACCAGAGGCAGAGCGGAGAGCAGAGCAGAGTAGGCAGACTGACGAAGTACTCTGCTGAGGGGAGCAGAGGGCAGCAGGAGAGGTCTGCGCACCATGTGGGACCTTCGCCTGGTGGCCGGGGATCGAACTGGCGCTGCAGAGGCTGCGGGCAGCTTCGCAACCCAGCACTCAACTGCTGCGCCACCTGGGAGGCCCCTGGCAAAACAATCTTATAAGAAGAATATTGTGAGGAATTAACATCCACTTAATTTTAATATATAGAAAGGGTCCCCAAGTCTTTTTAAGGATATCAAAAATGAATGTAATTTTCCTTTAAAAGGAACACTGAAAAACATATGAAAGACCTCATTTTCTGCTATTTTGATGGAAAGTTTAATTTCTCCTTTGACCAGCTAAAACATCTACTGTAAAAGTTTTTCTCAACTGTAATGTATTGTGAATCAAACACTTTTTTTTTTTTCTCTTAACAGAGAAGTACTAGTTGGGGACTAAAAGTAAAATATAGTTTGACAATGAAAAAGGAGATTTTTGTATATATATTTTAGTACTTCAGAATTAACTCAAAATAATAATGGTAGAAAATGATTTAGGAGCTAAAGTGAGTTCCCTAGACCATGAATAACAATAGCAGTACTCTGAGATTTATATCCTTTCTTTTCTCTTGTTTGTTTTCTATGTCATATAATTAATTAGAAGATTGTTTGTCCAAATTAATTCTGTTGCCAAAACTTTAAAAAATACTTGAGGTGACTAGTGAAATCTTAGTTTCAAAAGTACAGACTTAGTCAAGTATATGTCATATATTAAATACAAAATTAATGAAGGTACGACTTTCAAGTCTTTGGTAGAAATGCTGAATCAGTGATATTTTATAGGGGGTGCAGTTTGTCTTCATAGAAACATTATTGAGTAAAGAATCGTTGCTTCCTGTAGAATATTGCTTTAATTCCGTACTGATAAAACTTTCACTCTTTTGCAAAGGTATCAGATCCACACCGGCCTTCAGCATTCTATCATTAGACCTACCCAACCCAACTGTTTACCTCTGGACAATGCAACCCTACCTCAGAAGCTGAAGGAGGTCGGATATTCAACACATATGGTTGGCAAGTGGCATCTGGGTTTTTATAGAAGAGAATGCATGCCCACCAAGAGAGGATTTGACACCTTTTTTGGCTCCCTCTTGGGCAGTGGTGATTATTACACACACTACAAATGTGATAGTCCCGGCATGTGTGGCTATGACTTGTACGAGAATGACAGCGCGGCCTGGGACTATGACAATGGCATTTACTCCACACAGATGTACACCCAGAGAGTGCAGCAGATCTTAGCGTCCCATGACCCCAGGAAGCCCATATTTTTATATATTGCCTACCAAGCGGTTCACTCACCACTGCAAGCCCCTGGCAAGTATTTTGAACACTACCGGTCCATTATCAACATAAACAGGCGGAGGTATGCCGCCATGCTCTCCTGCTTAGACGAAGCGATCAACAATGTGACCCTGGCTCTGCAGAGGTATGGTTTCTATAACAACAGCATTATCATCTACTCCTCAGATAATGGTGGCCAGCCCACGGCAGGAGGGAGTAACTGGCCTCTCAGAGGCAGCAAGGGAACGTACTGGGAAGGAGGCGTCCGGGCTGTTGGCTTTGTGCACAGCCCACTTCTGAAAAACAAGGGCACAGTGTGTAAAGAGCTTGTGCACATCACGGACTGGTACCCCACTCTGATTTCACTGGCCGAAGGGCAGATTGATGAAGACATCCAGCTGGATGGCTACGACATCTGGGAGACCATCAGTGAAGGCCTTCGCTCCCCCCGCATGGATATCTTGCACAATATTGACCCCATTTACACCAAGGCTAAAAATGGCTCCTGGGCAGCAGGCTATGGGATCTGGAACACGGCCATCCAGTCAGCCATCAGGGTACAGCACTGGAAACTGCTCACTGGAAACCCCGGCTACAGCGACTGGGTTCCCCCTCAGTCCTTCAGCAACCTGGGGCCCAACCGGTGGCACAACGAGCGGATTACCCTGTCCACTGGCAAGACGGTGTGGCTCTTCAACATCACAGCAGACCCGTACGAGAGAGTGGACCTGTCCAGCAGGTACCCCGGGATCGTGAAGCAGCTCCTCCGGAGGCTCTCCCAGTTCAACAAAACCGCAGTGCCTGTCAGGTACCCCCCCAAAGACCCCAGAAGTAACCCTCGGCTCAACGGAGGAGTCTGGGGACCATGGTATAAAGAAGAGAACCAGAAAAAGAGGCCACGCAAAAATAAGGCTGAGAAAAAGCAGAAGAAAAGTAAGACCAAGAAGAAACAGCAGAAAGCAGGTTGGTTCCCCAGTTGTCGCGGGGGTGTCATACCTGGTTCAGGGCAAATAGTTTTTTCCTGTTTGGTTAAACTTTAATTGGTTCTTAGTCTTTCATCTGTTTTCTAGGTAAAACAGCAAATTTGGCTCAATAATATCCCCACCATGAGCATCGGACTCTTTCTCCTGTTGTGCCAGCAGTGGTTCTGCCACCTGCCCGCCCGGAACCCCGAGCTGCACCTGCCAAAGATGCCTCGAGCCAGCCACGCCGAGAGGAGGAAGAGCTGCTCTCTCTCCTGCTCCTGCACAGAAGGTGGTCAGTATCGAGTGCAACCTTGTTCTTCAGTCAGTCGACCAAATCTATGCTTTAAATTATAACCGGGGACCATGACCTGCAATGGATGAACATCCTAGTTTGATGGAAATTTCAGGATAGCTTGATTAAAAACTCCCTTCTTGGATAAAATGTAGTCAGAGTTTGTGACACCATAAAGACCTTGAAAAATGTATTTTCTTAATGAATTTCTATGTTTCGATCATAGGACACTTGACTCTTTTAATTAATTCTATTTCATGTATCATTTCCTTTCCTGTGAAAATAAGCTGTTTTTCTCACATGCGAACAGCTTGTACCTCATTTTATCACGCATGAGGGGATGGCAAATACGAGTGAGCACACAGCCAAAGCATGAATGTACCTGTTTTCTAAAGGCTTTAACAGAATGATGTTTCAGTACGAAGTGCGTAATTTATTTTTACGGAAAAAAAGATTAATTATTTTGCCTTCATAAAAGTTTTGCAAATGACTTTTAATTATTTTATTTTTATTTTATACATAGCATTAGAAGAGATTTATTTCATATCTTCAAGGTTACCAAGCACTGTAATACTTTAAATGACTGTAATGCTCTATGAATTCATGGACTATAAAAAGAAAATCAGAAAAAAATGATGATCATTGTTCAACCATTATTTTGAATGTACTAAGATAAATATATGCTTTAAATAATAGTTGGAAATTCAATGTTTGTACAGTCGAGAGACAACTTTATTGCTTCTATCAAAAGCATTTTATTTATGTATCTTTATTAAAATGACTTATTTTATGATACTAGCAAGTTTAGTGTTGCATTTGTGATTGGACTCCTAGTTAAAACTCTTTTATTCACCTCAGCAAAACTCTTTACAGAGAGGCTACTGAAGGTTATGTTTCCTGACAACAATAGTTCCTACTGTTGTAGGAACTTTACAAATAAGAGACGCTTCCAATTGGCTGTCGCATGAGGAAAATGTTCTCTTGTTAATAACTGACCTTTATAATGACCCTGTTCTTATAAATAGTGGAAAAAATGGGGCGATACAGAGGAATAAAAATTCCGATCCTTCCTGGTGTAGTTAAACATCTAGTGAGAACTCACACACTCAAGTACCATGAGGAGGAGTAAGGAAGAATGATCTGTCATGAGGATGATCACGGGTCACCGACAAGCCGTGATGGGTGTTCCTTCTGATGCAGAAGACTCGAGTTCTCATAGTTTGCTTTTAAAAAAAAATCATAGGTTGCTAGAGAACGATGTGTGAATTCCCAACTGTGCTAACCAAATATGCGAGGTGGCATGGCAACATGCAATTAAGTGCATCTCCATCAGAATTCAAAAGAAGGCCTGCCTGTCATAGTTTATGAACTTGTGCAGAAGCATTTATATACAGATGGGCAAAATGATTAAAATTTCTAAATTTTATGATTTCACTTTAGAATACATACTTCCATTTTATTCTCTAGGATAAAGTATTATTTCCTGAAGTTTGTGTTTTGTCAGTTGTGTATTTACATCGTTCTTAACAATCAAAGGCCTACTGTCAGTGTTTTGCTTTCTTGGGGGCCCAAAATATAATGATGTGACCAATAGATAGTATCTTACAAGTCAAAAAGTAGAGCATCATTACACTAAAAAATTCTAAGAAAAAATAATTTTGAGCTATAGTTAAAGGGTACACTGTAATGCAGATTTTCTTTGAGGTTTTTTTTTTTTTTTTAAAATCCTGCTTTGTCTTGTAAATCTCTAACAGGAGGAAAATTTTATACTGTTTACTAATTTCTAACGTATTGCACCATCAAACCCTTCCCTATACGCAATGCCCAGGAAGAGGGTTCAGTGCAACAGATTTTAAAAATGTCCATATAAACTTGGGAAGTTCCTAGCAACACAAATTCCTAGGAATTTACTCACATTTGAGCCCAGCAGGTATTATGCAATATGGTGTAATTTGAAGTTCCCTATAAAGTACTTTCTCAATGAAAATAGGTTAGCCCCAGTTTTCTACCTGGAATCAGCTTCGCAGATGTTATTCACAGTCTTAAGAAGAGTACCTGCCACCTGTGCGTGGTGCTGTGTCGGCTGTGATTTAAGACATCTGTGTCTTACCCTAAAGAAACTAAAATCCAAAGTAGCAGTCATATATAAATAATGAACAGAGAGTTTTCAAAATGCTGACAGCAAACCCCTAGGTATTTCAAGGTGGCCAGGAAGGAAAGCACTGAGCACTGGACTGTTATGCACTGATCATTAAAACTATGTTAATTTTGGTCATTTGTTCTCAATGTCATTCTCCTAAATGGTGGTTCTCCAGTTGCATTTGTAGAGCTGTCTGTGGCTCTTTCAAGTGTAAACCTCTTTTCAACCTCTGATCCTTTTATTTGGATAACAGAGGAAACTCCTGGATTGAAAAATAAACATACCACTAGCTTTGTCAGAAAAGAATGTGTGGAGTTGACTGTGTGTCCTGGGTATGAACAGCGATAAAACATTTTATTCAAAGGAAAAACTAAACTTTGTGTTGCCTTTCACTCAAGGAAAACAGCTTCCCAAGTCTGTCAAAAGGAATTGTTTCACCTCCACGTGAAAGTCTTTCACGCTTTTCTAAAAACTGAGTAAATGTCATGTTTTCTTGACCAGGCCCCTTTTAACATTCTTTGACAAACTGAGCCACTGAAAGCTAAACAAGAATACAGTTAATAACTGTTATCACTTGCTATTCCAAGGCACATGAATTTGGCATCGGGATTTGCTTCTTAAGTATTTTATCCATGAGATTCTTGATTGTACAAATTTTGAGACTGTCAGGAGTAATCAGTGTGTGTGGTCAATACGAATACACCGGCTGACCAAAGTAGCAAATAAAATCCTATGTCATTAGTTAATACCTTATTGTTTCCTGTTAAGCACAAATTACTTATTAAAATTCATTCTACAAATATTTACTAAATCTTACTATTTTTCAGGCTATGTTCTAGGTGCTTGGAACCTCTGAATGCACAAAATGGATAAAAATTCTTACCCTTGTGCAGGTTACGTGCTAGCCGAGTAAGTAGAAAATAATATAACTAATAAGTTAATTACCCACAATTTAGAGTAGTGTGGGAGGAAAGAGTAGATCAGGATGAGAGAAGGATTCTGTCAAAGCAGGTTTATCTCTGTAGCTTGCTACGTGCTATACGTAATGATCGACGCAGGGGTCGGTCGGGGCCTGTGTCTGGGTAGTGGACACATCTCCTAGGAGACACAGCCATAACCCAACCACCAGGAACCTTCCTCATTTGTCTTCCTCCACAACACTTGTCACTCTTTAATATATTTCATATTTTACTTACATATTTCTGTATTCTCTGTCTCATTCCACCAAGCTCCATAATTAAAGTGATTTATGTCTGCTCCATCTACATTTGTATTGCCAGCATATAAAACAATTCCTGGCTCTTAGTCAGAGGCTCAGTACATTTTTTGAATAAATAATCACATAATCCCATACATTCCTCTAGAGTTGCCTGGATTCCTATTTTCCATTCCTGTATAAGAATTCCACTGCTAAAAGTTGGAATTAATCATCCCTGAGACTTTTGGTTATAATGAAGTGGCAATGACATGAAATGAAGAAATAACCAGCACTGTAAAAAACTAACTCTAAACATGCATAGTTACAGGAACAAAATGGTTACACCCAAAGCCAAGCAACCATTGTACAAAATTAAGAGTGAATTTTATCCCTCTCTTTTTTCCTAACAGGGCAGTCCTGAGATATTGTAACACTATTTGACTATACAAAATATATTAACTTAAGTGGCTGTTTTTAGAAAAGAGAGATGGGGGACTTAAATTTTGACCTTTTTTTTGGTAGCAAGTTGTGAAAGGGAAATGTAGAAATAACAAATAAACCTCTATGCCTTCATAGAATTATGAAGCCAAATGGACTATACCTCACATCCTTGGGTATTTTATTACAAATCTCAACAATGTGGCAGATCAGGAATTCTGCTTCTTTAAAGGTATGTTTTTCTTCAGCATTTTATTGATTGTAGCATCTCTATAAAGTTCATTGACCCCCTGCATAGATACACCATTATTAATTGCAGAACACGAAATATTACCCTTTGGGATTTAGGCAGATTTGAACATGCATACCTAAATTTTCATTTCATTGCTGTGATTTGAACTTTCCTGCCTCATAAATTCACTACAATCCTATTATATACTTTGTCAGTTGGCTTATGAAATTTTGAATAAAATCAACTCCAACTAAAATGAAGCAAAAAATATTGGTTCTGTGGGAATGTCTAAATATCCACTCCTTATTGAAATGCCTTGATAATCATAATTGGGATCATAATCATCATGAACCAAATAATGGAGAAATTTGTCTTTCAAAATAAAAATCCAAATCCAATTTTCATTATCATTTGCATTGCATTTCTAGAAACAATACTTTAAGAATTAAAGTTCCTTCATGCTTGAGAATTGTAAATGACTGGAGAATACTTTCAGTTGACCCTTATAAACACTATGAGAAGGATTTTTTTATATACAAAGTTTAAAAGGAAAATCATTTTATTTTGTATTTGAAACTGTTTTTTCACTTGTCACTATCATCCGAGATTCCTGAGACTCCTTTTAAGCAAAAAATAATGACTTGACTCATCCATCATTGATATTCTTTCTGTCTGTAATTCACATCCCACTAACATGTCTGTATTTTCAGCTTTTCCTGATGGGAATAATCAGTCCCCATTAGCACCCAAAAGTTAGGGAATTATAAGCATATAACTATACACTCACAGTTAGTAGCAAGAAAATGTAAGGGTTCAGAGCATGTCACCCCAAAATACACCATGGTATATTGATTATTTTGATTGTGTTAAAGGCATTTGAAAATGGTAATGCAAGAGGGTCATTCTGGGTCCCCCGCCCCAAAAGTAGGAGATAAAACTCCAATGTGAACGCTGTTGTCCCTGTACCTGAAAGAGGAAGACGTCTTATCACCTGAGGAAGGAAGCTGAAGCCAAAAAAATCTATACAAGCAAACCTGTTAACCCAATCCATGATTACTTCTGGTTCCTGGCCAGAGCTCCTAAAACCTTTATGATCTCCTAAGTGAGAAGAACCATAGGAACATCTTTTGTTATACTATTTGGTTTTTGTCCCTAGCTCCTGAAATAGCTGCAGAGCCATAAAGGTGAAAGATGAATCCTCTCTTCCTAACAACGCCCTCTCTAAAACACTGGAGCTTAGTTAACAAGAGGAGTTCTGGAAAGCCCCCAAGGATGAGGCTGGTGCATGAGGGATGCAACCACACTCAGAGGGTTGAAATTTTCAGCCCCACTCTCTGGCCTCTGGGAAGGAGCGAGGGACTAGTGGCTGAGTTAAACCCTAATGGGCAGTGGCTTAGTTGATCACGTGTCAGTAACGCAGCTTCCATCAATAACCTGAAGCGAAGGGATTCAGAAGCCGGCTGTTGACACCTCGAGGCCCTTGGAGGCACAGTGCACGCGGGCCTTGCAACCCTTCTCCATGATTCACTGCCCAAGTTTAAACCCCTTTGTCTCGTTCTATTTTCACAACCCGCTTACCCAGCATGTGAGTTGTGGGCTTCAGTTACTTCTGTAAGGCTTCATTTTCCTCTGAAGTGTCCCATGTAGATGCAAAAATAAAATAGCCTTTGTATTAAACTTGTTTCTCTTTCAACTTTTGCTCGGAGCCCTAAGAGGTAACTAGCTTCTCAAAAATTAGAAATGTCTGGGGGAGCTGTTTTCTTCCTGCTGGAAGGAGTTCCTGCTGGACAGACTGGGCGAGCGTGCTGAGCAGAGAGATTTGTCCCGGTGTTTGCCCTCTGCCTCCATGTCTCTGCACTGCCCAGCAGCAGCGCCACGTTCAGGCTATTTGTTCCTGTCCTCTCACACGCAACCATGGCCACACTTTTTGTAATCTTGGCACCTGTATTATTCACGCCTACATCCCACCTGCCCTGCTGCTACAGAACTGGCCACATAGACACCCATTTCCCACAGATTATCAACATTTGAACCCCTCTTGATGGTCCCCAATATAGAGGGGTGTGTAATGTTCCTCATCACGTGGTGACAAGTCCTGAGCCCACTCCCAAACCTTGAGACAGCCGGATCGACGGGGACGTGCCATCCTTGTCAGCAAAACTGATATGTGTACTCTTGCTCATTACACCGAAAGCACCATGCAGATTCTGGAG